AGTCGCCTGCTGAACTCAACATTTCGGAATGGGTCAGAATTAAACCACCACGGGACCGCAGGTTTTAGTCCATGTTCTCATTTACCAGGGTTCCGCTTTGGGTACTGTGGATGGACGAAATCCAATTCGCAACACCAAAGAAACCCTGGTTCTGACAAACGTTTTGGTTTCAGCCATGGTTTCCTTTTGTGGTGCGCACGGATTTCGCAACCATCCACAGTATGTTTGACCACCACACCCCTTTCTCACATTTCTTGGAGGTCCGCCAGTCCGCCGAGTCCGTTTCCCCCCCATCCGCCTGCATTCGATGCTGCAGGAGGAGTCCTCCAACAGCAAGATCTCCCAGGTCACGTGGTCTCCGGGACAGGAGTGGTCAGACTTCCTGGCCGCATCTGGCCGCCAAAAACGGGAGGAAATGATACCCAGGAAATCTGGCTGCGATAGGTAGGGATGACCGAGACCTGGGTTTGGAAATGAACCCAGGGGTTCCTGTAAAGGAAACCATAGAGGATGGTTTATAGGATTTATAGGTTATAGGGGTCATTCAAAATGAAAATCGGAATACACGCAAAAAGGTCCAGGTCCAGGGGTTCAAAGTTAACCCAGATTCATTTGCCTCTAGGTAACCAAGGGAACCACCCCTTAGACTTCCTAGCGCCATCGGGACGAAATGATACCCAGAAAATGGTGAACCGCTTTCGCCAAAGTTGTCACCCATCCAAGCCCTTCTTTGTTGACAGTTGATGGGAACCCTAAACCTAGGATTAGGCAAGATGCTCTTTGCTCAACATACTGTGGATGGTTGCGAAATCCATTTCGCACCACCTAAAGAAACCCTGGAATGGTGATACACCTGTAAATAATTATCAACAAACAATGGTTTCCCACGGTTTCTTAGGTGGTGCAGGATTTGGTCCATCCACAGTATTCAAGGGCAAACATGCTGGATGCTCCTAAACATTGACACTCCTTTGGACTGGGTCAACGTGAAATGCTTCCCGATTTAAGCGAAAATCACCAAGCCAGGGAACTCGAGGCCCAAAGATCTGCACAGGAAATCCGGGCTACCTTCCTGGAAGAAGTCGCTCGGAACCACTCCAGACTGCGGGGGATTGTCCCAGGTGCCCGGGAAAATTGATCTCCTGCTGGAAGAAGTTCATGTTGACCTTTTGGGGAAGGGACTATGTCTGGCCGGGATTCCTCCAAACAACAAGCAATGTTACTTCAGAGCGACGGTAACCCATGCGCCCTGCCTGCCGGAATATCTTCCGCACTTCGGCTTGGACTCCTGACACGCGATGCATAGAGAAAGCCCAAACCATCTGGTCAAATTACTGTGGACCACATCCTGCACCAGGTGGTTTGTCCGAGATCTCATAGGGTTTCATTCATCTATCCCACCCTGCTTTCACAGGCTTTGCCCCGGCTTTCATGGGGCCAAATTTCTGCGGATGGACCAAATCCTGCACCAGCTGGTACGTGGTTTGTGCCCGAACCCACAGTAAACTTGGTAAAGTACCGTCCGGAAAGCAGGAACCCCATGACCAACACCAAGTCACCGAAACTCGCGCGCCAAATGACTCCGAATCCCCCCAAAATGACATTCAGCCGAATGAAGGGACCCCGGAAAAACCCTTCTTGTGAACTCTTGGCCAATAAAACTGGGCTGTCCTCAAATCCCCTGCTAACAGTTTAACTTTTTAGTGGGACAAATTTGGAAACTACCACAAAACCAAAAGCCTAAAAAGCTAAGGAACCGGACGGCTGGGGGCCACCAAGAAAAAGTCCCAAACTGCCTGCCATCCTGTCTTCTGAACAAGAGATCCTATGGCCGAAATTCGGGATGTGAATGCGCTGAGTAAAAAAAAAACAAAACAAAAAGGAAAGCTGGACATTCTCAGCACATCAACATTGAAAGCTCAGTCATTCATGGCTCGGGCTCCATGTTATGCTATCAGTTCCATGTGAAAGCTGGAATCCCCTGACAAGGACCATCATCATGGATTCGCTCGGTCTACCCCCGATGAGCACGGGATGAATTGTGGAACTCTCTCGGACCGTTCCACAAGCTTGGACAAAATAGCGTCGAGAAAAACCACGTGTCCCACAGTATCCCAGAGTCCAATGGCTGTGAATTGGCCATGCAAGTAGCTCAACAGAAGTGACTTCACAAATCAAATTCTCGGAAGAGACTTGCATCAGCCTTGTCCCGTCAATCAACCATTGATGTGTTTGGTCCTTCGTTCAATCTTAGTGAACCTCGAATGCAAAATAATGTCAAGGGGGGGTCCCACAAACAACAACGCTATGGCTTCCTTTGCGCAAAAGTGACGAAAGTGGCTATCAACCCCTTACGACAAAATGTCACTCTTACTGCTCTGCGGTAATAACGCACCTTTCCTCAAACCGTTTTCAAATTCAAGATATGGACCCTGGCTTTTCTGCAAGGTAAATGGCTCGGTAAAGAATCGCTTGATGGTTGAAACAAAAGTGTCCCCAGTCCTAAAGATTCAACCAATTTCGCAACCCCGAGACACAGATTAAATAAATAAACGTGTCCAAGAAGAACATGTCAGATATTAGGTGCAGCCATTGACATGCTAGGCAAGGCGCAGAAATGAACACACGCTTATCAATCATAAGTACTCCCTTTTGAACAGCAAGGAAAACTGAAGTTCGCTTCTCAAGTGCTTCCAGTCACCACTATGGTAAGCCATTCTCCATCTACAAAAGCCAGGGGTTCAATTCCCCAAACCACCAATCCGAACCAACTGAGGGTTGCCTGAATTGTGGCTAGGTCCTCCAGGAGAGAGGTTAGAATATGGGTACCCTTTTTTCTGTAGTCTATTTTAGTAGGGGAACCCTCCTCCAAAAAGCTTTAAAGGGCACTACTGGGGGACCTAGGTGGAGTGACTGGGCTCCGCTGAAACCGGCGCCTCGTCCGCCATGACGGCCCCGGCGTGATGGATAAATTTAATGGCTGGTACTTTACCCCTTGCTTGTGCATGGGCTATCCCGGATGGCGGTTAAAAAACGGATGGTTAAAAAACGGATGGTGGTAAAAAAAGGAAGAATGTCTGGATAGGTAAAAGAAGAAACCGGAAAGACAGCAGTTTCCTCCCTGAAAAGGCTCCTACATGACTGATTGCGTCCCGCTCGGTATTTTCTGGTGGCCCCCTATAAGGTCAGGTCACAAGAACCCCCTTTGTCAGGAAGCGTTTTTATTTGCCTGGAGAGCACTCCCGGGCCCAACCATTGTCAGAGCCTTTTGAAACTATGGCAACAGGTTGAATGAGAAGGGGGAGGTCTGAAAAAATGACAATCTCCCCACCTCTCGTTGGTTTACTCAGCGGAATTCAATCAACCTGGGTTAAGGCAACAGGCGACTGCCTCTGAACATAGCAAGAACACCAAACAACTACATTCGGTACATCGCAAGTTGTTTTTCTGGGTGTTCAACAGCGTCTGACCATACATATAACGCTCCGCTTTTGATATCCGAAAGGGAAACATCATATGAGCTATGTAGCACTCAGCATGCAATCCACTGCAGCTTTCTCTTGCCATGCTCAGCCAAGCGCTGCGAGTGGGGTGCTCAGGCTCCAAGGCTCAGGGCTTGATATGGTTGTCTTGTTGGGGGGAGACCTCCTCAAAATTGCGGCTTTCCAATTGGTGTCCCTTTGACACCATCCACAAAAGAGGTACCAACTTCTAAAAACAATGAGCCACCCGTGTGAAGGTTCTGAGGACTGCGGGTGTTTTCAAAGAATTTCCACTCCGAAATGACCAAACCCCAATGCTGAATATCTCGGGAGTGTACCTTAAGGGGCATGGTCCAGGGTCTAATGGTGAAAGATTTGATGCTGAAGGCCTCTGAAACCAGCATACGGTGGATGGACGGAATCCTGCACCACTTGGAAACCGTATGAGAAACCATTGTTGGTTTTTACAGGGAAATCATCATTCCAGGGTTTCCTAGTTGGTGCGGTGCGAAATGGACTGTGGAGGAATCACCTTGGCTTTACCTCGAACGACTACAAGGATGTTGGGGAGTACCCCCCATGTCATTCCTGTGACCCATGTCATTCCCCACAGTACATGAGCAAGAGTCCCAACCCCGTTTGCTTTTTTTTCTGTGCAGCCCCGTCTACACATGGAAAAAACCACAATATCGGCTTCAGCAACTTGGCTGGAACAAACCTGGCCTTCGATTGGGGGGAACCCAATTCACACATTGGAAATAAACAATCCCCGAGTGTGAGCAAGCACGAGTGATTTGGTGGAATCAACAAGTCCCAGTGTCAACCTGCTTGAGTGGACACGCCCATGAACATAGGGACTCAACCAAGCAGCTGACTCAATACCACAAGAAATCGATAGAACACCACGAAAAAACGGATGCTCATCAACTTGTAAAACAAATAGGAGACCTGAATCCCCTAATGAGCCGAGCGGATAAATAAAAGGGACAAGCAACAGAATGAAGCAGGCGGCTTCTTGCCGAACTCGTGCGCAACAAATTTCAGGGACATAATATCACACTGCACAGGAGTAACTATTCCATATGTCCTGAGCGGGTCCTCCGCCCGAATGATCACCCTTTGAAATAGAACATCGAACAGTTGGCAGAACCTAAGAGCCTTTTTCCGGATCCACTATAAACCATAAACAAGTCAGCAAACGGCTGGTCGAAAACCACACCTTGGCTTGCACAACCCCATTCGGGCACTAACCAAACGGTACCTTTTAAGGAGCCGTGTTTAAGACGGGGCCTTTTTGAGGTTGCTTTGAAGAGCGCTGGTTTTCCTGAACCCCGTGGTGTGGTTACCCTCAGACATGAGATAAACTCAACCCTGGCAGTAGTGGTTCATTAAAACACGCAAACACACAAACACTCACAAACACGCACACAAAGGGTTCTCTCAAAACTTAGACAGGCTCTTCAAACCCATGAAAGAAAAATTGTCCAACCCCCAGCCCGTGGAGTCTGAGGGTTGCGCTGGACCTCACAAACTCCGTCACTTTCATCACAAAGTCCCCCGCGTGGCTGGCGCGACTTCGACAAAATGGGGACATCGACCCGTTGTGGAGGGTGGACTGGGGGGGGGGGGGCGGAAGTGGTGTCTGGTCTCAATTGGACGAACTACGAGGTGTGATGTTATTCTCAACCTCGACCGAAAAGTCTTGCTTCCCTCGACGGTGGCAGTAGTGGTCGTGCTAGTGGCGGCGGTTTTCTTCTCCATCAAACCCCGGAGAGGGGTGCTGAGACTCCTCGAGGTGCGCATGTCCGTGCATCTTGGGGCGATATTTGGTTCGGCCCTGAGAAAATTACGCGCGCTGAGGGTGGTCTTCCCAAAAGGTCCAAGCACATCAAACATGCGGTTTGTTGGAATGCGTTTGACAAATGCAAATGCAAACCTAGTAAACAAACCAAATACAAATGATTGTTGACAAATCAATCAAATACACAAACAAAAGAATGAACTAAAACAGAACAACTAAACAGACACATAACTAAAGGAACATGCTTATAGTGGCAAGGAGGTGCAACAAATAGTGCAATACGACAAACACTTCCCGAAGACTAAACCTTCATATAAAGGTCGAGATTGGGAAATCTCAAACCATCCAAGGGCGCACATGCCTAAACAAATGAATCAACAACATATGGAGAACCGAGCCCCTCTGGGCAAACTACCTCAAGGCACGTGTCTTTTGGAATAACCCACGTCCAATGCTTGCAAGAAATCCTCCACAACTCCCTGAATGAGATGGAACTCAATCGGGAACCTACGGAATCATTCGACTGGTTTTTCCAAAAAAGCCGGCGACTGGATGGTGTAGAACTCTCCTTGGTAGGTCATGGTCCCAACCAAACCTAAAGGCCACCCGACCATCCTTTGCTTTCACGGGTACTTTGGCAGGCCACAAGTGCCCGCCAAAAAAACAACGACATACGCAAAACGCCAAAAAAAACACCTAAGACAGCCTTGAGAACCAGAAGGACTAGGAAGTCCTGGGCGTTGGAATCTCCCCAGAGACAAATGGGAAAAACGTCCCAGTATTCTTGGTTGACGTTAGAAGGGGAGCAAAAAAAACACATTTTGGCAGTTCTGTGGGGATTTCCCACTATGCCACAATGAGCAAACATGTGAAATGTTTCCCAACAACAACTGAGTATTGATAGTGTTTCATCCATCCCCACCGGCTCAGAATCTTAGCGTATTACACATGTGACGGAACCAACACGGATGCCACCATTTTGTTTTTTTTTGGGGGGGAACCCAAAAAGACGTTCCACCATATGCAAATAATCAGCCGTTTTCCTTTCGGGTGCCCTCCGCAATGGATGGTTCAGTGGAGAGGATAGAATAAGGGTGCCCTTTTTCTGTAGTCTATTTTAGTAGGGGAACCCTCCCAACCAAAAAAGAAACGGTAAAAGGGCACTACCGGGAGACCTAGAAACCAAACCGAACACAGAAGGAACGCCTCACTGCGGCGCTGCCCTGCCAAAGCTCCGTGCCGGAGCCGCAGCCTGCGAGGTAGGCCGCTTGCGGAAGCAAACGGGCGGGAGAAAAAGGGGACACCCCCAGATCAAAATCAACCAGGGGTTTATTAGTCCGGGGTTAACATCATGTTGCAGCAAAGAGCCCTAGCACCCAAAATGAAGGTGGCAAAGTAGACCCTAAGCGTCCATCATACGGAGGGGTTCCCTCGTTTCACAATCCAAGGACCTGGAAAGGCCTCCTGGGTATTGTCTGTTCGTTTCTACTCGTGTGCTTTCTGCGGCAAAACTGTCCGCCACAAACCTGGGCTGCGGCAAAACCGACTCTAGGAAAAGGTACCCCACTCATACCCGCACAGCACAAAACTCACTCTCGCACCGGAAGCGATTCGAGCACGCACATCTGTTTGGCCTGCAAAGTCGGGTGCCAGCCGGTCTGCTGCGTTTGCAGCGCCGCGCACTCTGGCCGCTTTGAGCTCAAAGAACTGCCACTTTCGGACGTCTCGCCTCTGCTCTGGCGTGTACTCGCTCACGACTGCCCGCTTTTCGGGCGTCTCCGTCACTTCCTGCCGACAGCGCGCAAGATGGTTTTTTCCGACACAGCCGGCTTGGACCCTTCGAGAACCTGTCTGGACCGCTTCCGGCACTCTCTGTAACCTTTCTGAAACGTGCAGAACTATGGACCGTCTCTGGAACCCTCTAAAACCACTCTGGAAACTCTTGCAACCCTTCTAACTTCTCAATCCATTCTTCGGAACCTTTTTGAACCTTCTGAAACCCTCTCAACCCCTCTGCACGCAACTGTTCTGGAACCCTCTGCAGCCCCTCTGCAACCCCTCGTCAGGTGCGACTTGTGCCAAGCCCCTTTAGACAAAAGTGGGACCCTGCCTGCTTACTACACATTAACCCTTGAAACAGAATCCGCTTGCGCTTGCATTCTTTGGAAGCCTTCAAAACCGTATAGACCCTTCTGAAAGCCCTCTTGAACCGTCTGGAACCCTTTTTCAGGAACCCTTCTTGGAGCCCTTTTGCCTTCTGGAGCCCTTCTGAGTGGAAGGCATGTCAAAAAGAGCCGTGACCGTCAATTAAATTCTAACTGAAGAAACCTAGTTTGCCCCCCGGACATCAATGGTAAGCCCGTCACAACGTAGACCCTGAACAAACATATGGGCCCTCTGAATTTCCACTGCAGAAACAAACCTTCAGACCCCTCTGCATGGAACGCTTCTGGAACCTTTTGCAGCCTCTCTGCAACCCCTCTAAATGGAAGGCCCGTCACAACGTGGCCCTACTTGTGCCAGGTCCCTTCAAACAAAAGCGGGACCCTGCCTGCTCACTACAGACTAACCATCAAAACTAAATCCTGCTCGCAACGTTTTTTTTGGATTTGGAGTCTTCTAACTCCCCTCTTCAAAACCATATAGAACCTTCTGCAACCTCTCTGGAACCGTCTGGGACCCTTTGGCAAGAACTTTTCAGGAACCCTTCTTGGAACCCCTTTGCCCTCTGGAGCCCTTCTGAGTCGTGAACGTCAATTCAGAACCAATAGCCAAAAACGGGCCCTCTGAAAAGCTTGCTGGACGCTTTGGAAATGCACGAAACCCACCTGGAAGCCTTCATAACCCGTTCTGAAACTCCCTGCAGCTCTTCAGAGCCCTCTGAACCTCGGATTTTTTTTTTTACCTTCAGACCCCTCTGCATGGAACCCTTCTGGAACCCCTCTAAATCGAAGGCCCGTCACAAGGTCGGCCTACTTGTGGCAAGCCCCTTCAAACAAAAGTGGGACCCTGCCTGCTTGCTACACATTAACCCTCGAAACAGAATCCGCCTCCCTTGCCCGTGTCCGCAACGTTTTTTGGGAGCTCTCTGAAACTTCCTAGATTCTGGAACACTCTCCATCCCTTCAAAACCGTATAGAACCTTTTTGAAACCCCTCCGGAACTGTCTGGGACCCTGTGGCAAGAACTTTTCAGGAACCCTTCTCGGCAAGCGAAGCCCTTTCGCTAGGTCAGGTGCAGATTTCGTGGCAGGCGCGGCACTAGGTTTCGCGGCAGGTGCCGCACTTTCGCAGGGCGCGGTACTGCCTTGAACTTTTTTGGAATGTTTCGAACCCCCTTGAACCGTCTCGAACCTTTCTGAACGGCAAGTCTGAGCAGGCAGGGCTCCTTTGGACCACTCCGCCTGCCTCGCCCGCGTCCTTGTCTTTGGCTCTGGAGGCCTCTGCCTGACATGATTTTTTTTGTAATTGGAGAAGGGTGTGATTCTGGCCTCTGAACCTTCTGCCCTTTGCCGTTTTTGTCCCTGTGCATCCTGCGCGCAACATGCGTCATCAGCACGGCAGCAGCCTTGCGCGCCTCCTCGCTCCACGCCTCCTGCTCTGCGTCACCTCCTGCCTGCCGGCTGTAAAGCAGATCCACATTGCTAAGGCTGCAGCCCCCCCTAGAATCGCCCCCCCATGATGCTCGAAGAAGTGATGATTCAACAAAGGGTGATGATGATCGAAGAAGTGATGATTCAGCAAAGGGTGCGTTACTCACTGTCAACCTTGTACAAATCAGCAGGGTGGTTGGGGGGGGGGTCCTTCCTTCCTTCCTTCCTTCCTTCCTTCCTTCCTTCCTTCCTTCCTTCCTTCCTTCCTTCCTTCCCCTTCGAGAACCTGTCTGGACCGCTGTAAGCTTATGAAACGTGCAGAACTATGGACCATCTCTGGAACCCTCTAAAACCACTCTGGAAACTCTCGCAACCCTTCTAAATTCTTCGGAACCTTTTTGAACCTTCTGAAACCCTCTCAACCCCTCTGCACGCAACTGTTCTGGAACCCTCTGCAGCCCCTCTGCAACCCCTCGTCAGGTGGTACTTGTGCCAAGCCCCTTTAGACAAAAGTGGGACCCTGCCTGCTTACTACACATTAACCCTTGAAACAGAACCCGCTGGCGCTTGCATTCTTTGGAAGCCTTCAAAACCTCTTGAACCGTCTGGAACCCTTTTTCAGGCATCAATGGTAAGCCCGTCACAACGTGGACCCTGAACAAAAATATGGGCCCTCTGAATTTCCCCTGCAGAAACAAACCTTCAGACCCCTCTGCATGGAACGCTTCTGGAACCTTTTGCAGCCTCTCTGCAACCCCTCTAAATGGAAGGCCCGTCACAACGTGGGCCTACTTGTGCCAGGTCCCTTCAAGCAAAAGCGGGACCCTGCCTGCTCACTACAGACTAACCATCAAAACTAAATCCGCCCGCAACGTTTGGGGTCTTCTAACTCCCTCGCAGTGTTCTGGGGCCCTCTTCAAAACCATATAGAACCTTCTGCAACCTCTCTGGAACCGTCTGGGACCCTTTGGCAAGAACTTTTCAGGAACCCTTCTTGGAACCCCTTTGCCCTCTGGAGCCCTTCTGAGTCGTGAACGTCAATTCAGAACCAATAGCCAAAAACGGGCCCTCTGAAAAGCTTGCTGGACGCTTTGGAAATGCACGAAACCCACCTGGAAGCCTTCATAACCCGTTCTGAAACTCCCTGCAGCTCTTCAGAGCCCTCTGAACCTCGGATTTTTTTTTTTACCTTCAGACCCCTCTGCATGGAACCCTTCTGGAACCCCTCTAAATCGAAGGCCCGTCACAAGGTGGGCCTACTTGTGGCAAGCCCCTTCAAACAAAAGTGGGACTGTGCCTGCTTGCTACACATTAACCCTCGAAACAGAATCCGCCTCCCTTGCCCGTGTCCGCAACGTTTTTTGGGAGCTCTCTGAAACTTCCTAGATTCTGGAACACTCTCGATCCCTTCAAAACCGTATAGAACCTTTCTGAAACCCCTCCGGAACTGTCTGGGACCCTGTGGCAAGAACTTTTCAGGAACCCTTCTCGGCAAGCGAAGCCCTTTCGCTAGGTCAGGTGCAGATTTCGTGGCAGGCGAGGCACTAGATTTCGCGGCAGGTGCAGCACTTTCGCAAGGCGCGGTACTGCCTTGAACTTTTTTGGAATGTTTCGAACCCCCTTGAACCTTCTCGAACCTTTCTGAACGGCAAGTCTGAGCAGGCAGGGCTCCTTTGGACCACTCCGCCTGCCTCGCCCGCGTCCTTGTCTTTGGCTCTGGAGGCCTCTGCCTGACATGATTTTTTTGGTAATTGGAGAAGGGTGTGATTCTGGCCTCTGAACCTTCTGCCCTTTGCGGTTTTTGTCCCTGTGCATCCTGTGCGCAACATGCGTCATCAGCACGGCAGCAGCCTTGCACGCCTCCTCGCTCCACGCCTCCTGCTCTGCGTCACCTCCTGCCTGCCGGCTGTAAAGCAGATCCACATTGCTAAGGCTGCAGCCCCCCCCAGAATCGCCCCCCCATGATGCTCGAAGAAGTGATGATTCAACAAAGGGTGATGATGATCGAAGAAGTGATGATTCAGCAAAGGGTGCGTTAATCACTGTCAACCTTGTACAAATCAGCAGGGTGGTTGGGGGGGGGTCCTTCCTTCCTTCCTTCCTTCCTTCCTTCCTTCCTTCCTTCCTTCCTTCCTTCCTTCCTTCCTTCCTTCCTTCCTTCCTTCCTTCCTTCCTTCCCCTTCGAGAACCTGTCTGGACCGCTTCTGGCGCTCTCTGTAAGCTTATGAAACGTGCAGAACTATGGACCGTCTCTGGAACCCTCTAAAACCACTCTGGAAACTCTTGCAACCCTTCTAAATTCTTCGGAACCTTTTTGAACCTTCTGAAACCCTCTCAACCCCTCTGCACGCAACCCTTCTGGAACCCTCTGCAGCCCCTCTGCAACCCCTCGTCAGGTGGTACTTGTGCCAAGCCCCTTTAGACAAAAGTGGGACCCTGCCTGCTTACTACACATTAACCCTTGAAACAGAATCCGCTGGCGCTTGCATTCTTTGGAAGCCTTCAAAACCGTATAGAACCTTCTGAAAGCCCTCTTGAACCGTCTGGAACCCTTTTTCAGGAACCCTTCTTGGAGCCCTTTTGCCTTCTGGAGCCCTTGAGTGGAAGGCATGTCAAAAAGAGCCGTGACCGTCAATTAAAGTTTAACTGAAGAAACCTAG